ACCAGGTTTCATAAGTGGCATGCATTTGGAGTCCAAAGTTTGTGGTCCGAGGACTCTGCTAAGAATGAATATTATTTAACAGCTTTTCTAGGACTTTCTGGAGCCCTGATCCCCTGTTGGCCCTTTCAGCCATCTCATAGCACCTCCTTTATAAAAGGATTGAGGCTGAGAGAGGAAGTTGCCCAAGGTCACATGGAGAGGCTGGTGCAGGGACCAGGAGCCAAGCTCTTGTTCCAGCCCCCATGCCCTTTGCACAACCCCTGCCCAGTTCTGCCATTGCTGTCCAATAATTAACTGTGGATTTAGAAAGACATGGACCCCTTGGGCCCATTCGTGAAGGTCCTGAAGAGACAGATCTGTTTCAGAGCCTTTGACCCAGGAGGACATACCCTATTGATGTGGTAACACAACCTTTTCTTATTTTTTAAACTCTTTATTATGAGCAAGTTTAAATATACACCAAAATAGAGAGGGAGAGAATATAATGAATCCCCTGTGCCCATCAGCAGCCAGCTTAATAATTATCAACACCTGCTGTTCTTGGGAACATGACTTGGAATTGTCTTTCCCCGAGGAAACCAGAGGAGACACATGTTAACAACCAGAATGATCTTTCCAAATTGCCAACAGGATCATATTAACTCACCTCCTCTTCCTCAGAACTCTAGTAGGATCCTCTGCTGTTGAAAGGAAGACAGAGCAGGGCCCCAACCCTGCCCTCCACAGCCTACCTCCGGACTTCTTTTAAGTGAGATAAAGATACACTTCTCTCTTGTTTAAGCCATTTTTATTTTGAGTTTCCTCTTACGTCAGTAGTTCACAAATGTGGCTATATATTAGAATCAATAGAGGAACTTAAAAACAAAAGGAAACAACAGCAAAACTCAGACAATCTGTTACAACACTGAGGGAATTCTGATTCGATAGGTCTGGAGTGTTGCTCGGGCATCAGTGCTTTAAAAAGCTGTCCAGACGATGCTAGCACACAAACACAGTTGAGAACCACTGTTTAATCATATGTCTCTGAACTGATCCTAAAGGACACATGGCTCACTCAGCTGAAAGGTCATCTTCTCCTGAGAAGTCCCAGGCAGAGGAACTTGGGGCTCCCTCCTTGTGCTTCCACAGAGCTGGGTGCTAATCTCCATTAGAGGTATATAGTAGTTCATTGCATTCGTTTGGGTTGGGTATGTCTCTCTGCTGTCCTCTGACCTGCTCCAGGTGGGACCATATTAGATTTATGCAGGGTGCCTGCCCCAGGAGTCAGAGTTCTTACTCGGGCCTCCAAAAGTCTACATGGTCTAGTCGCTGCCCATGCCTCCAGCCTTTTCCAGAACCATACACCCCTTCCTGCTTCCTGCTTCTGCCCCGCTTGTCTTCTTTCAGTTCTCTGAATGCACCTTGACCCCTCCCATCTCCAGGCCTGGGCACATGCCTGTCCCTTTTACCTGCAACTTGAACCTGCGTCTTCATTCAGTTGGGCCCTATTTGTCTTTCAGCTCTCATCCTCTGTCCTTGCTACTCAGCATGTGGGCTCCGCACTAGCAGCATTGGCATCACTGGGCCACTTGTTAGACACGCAGAATAGAAGGCATTTCTAGTTTACAAGGTCCTCAGAATATGTAGAACACAATGGGGGCAGTTCTAACTCAAAAATATGATTGGGGTGAAGGCAAGAGAGGAGGTGGTGTTTTTAGAAGAAAGGAATGCTGGGCAGACAAAAGAAATGATGTCCACCATAACTGTGGTGTGTCTACGCAACAGAATACTGTCGGACCCCTTGCCTGCTCTAGCTAGGCCTGAGGCTACAAACCCAAGTGCCTAAAGGGCTATAAATGAGTGAATCAGTGTATTAGTTTCACATTTGTTAGCTGTAACAAATTATCCCAAACTTAGTGGCTTAAAACAACACAAACATTATCTTACAGTTCTGGGGGTTCAGAAGTCTGAAATGAGTGTCACTGGGCTAAAATCAAGGTGTTGGCAGAGCCATGCTCCTTCTGGAGACTCTAGGGGAAAGTTGTTCCCTTGCCTTTTAGCGCTGCTTTCGTTCTTTGTCTGTGGCTGCATCACTCCAACCTCTGCTTCCACCATCACATTTGCGCTGATGTTAACATTCCTGTCTCCCTCTGATGAGGACCCTTGTGATTATACTGGGCGCACCCATGTAATCCAGGTTGATCTCCCTCCAGATCCTTCACTGCAGATGCCCAAGTGCTGCCATAATGTCTGCTTCAATTCCAGTGTTACTTGTGTGCTTGTGTGAGAGCCTTGATTCTAGTCTGAACTCAGACACTCATCTCCTGTGTGATGTGGGGCAAGTCCCACTCCCTTTCTGGGTCTCAGTTTCCTCAGCCATAATCTGAGGGGCAGAGGAAGGGAATCAGCCAGGAAGCCAGGCAGGTGGGAGGGAAACTGGGTTTGTGGTAAAGACTCAGGGCTGGTTTGGTTCGACAACATTCAGATTTAGTTCATGTTCCCAGGGTGTAAATTTCACAGAGTGTAGCGTTTCACTTAAGAGAAAAAGAGGGGAAAACGGGGTACATTTTGGTTTGCTTTTATATTCATCTTTATTTTTAAATATCCATTCCCTGCAACTCCCTCAGTATCTTGACCCAGTCTTCCATCTTCAGCTCAAATGCAGGCAATGGAGGTACCTGCTACAGTCAGTGTAGGATCAACACCCAGTGCAGCTTGCAGGTCTTTTTGTTTGGAGTCTATCTGATCCGCTCATTTTCTCAGAGTCTGGAATCTTCTTCAGTAACTTCCCAGACATATAAGGCTTCAAGATGCTGAAGGATGGAAATAGCTTCTCTTCCCCCACCAGGCCAGTGTAAACACATCCCTGGGTGACATTCCTTGCTGACAAGGACTTGACTATGGTTTGTGTTATCTCACCATTTCCCCTTCAATCCTTTTAGTCCAAACACTCACAGGGGCTCCAGGCTCAACATCCGTTTTAGTGGCCTGGATCTTTTTTTTTTTTCCCCAATTAAAAAGCTGAATCTAAAGCATTCTTGAAAAATAGTCAATCCTCTGCAAAAATAATTTGTGCATTTTACCCTGAGCCACTGCACATTCATCCTTCTCTCCAAACCATAAATGTCAAGCACTGTGGAAGGTTTTTATTTTTTTTTAATTTTTGGATGCTTTTACAAATGCCTTGCAGTAGGACTACTTTGGTGACTTCTGATGCCAGACACAGCGTACCAAGTGTCAAGGGTGGGCCTACTGAATGGGATCTGGATACAGACAAAGCATTCACTTGATAAGTCCCTTTCTGAAAACCATCCATGATGGAGTCATAGAATCCCAAAGACTACTTAGGCTGGTGCTCCCCAAATATAGTTGTGTATCAGAAGCATATAAGGAATTTAATTCCTGGGTCTCAACAAACATCTAATAATTCAGAATCACCAAAGGTAAGGCTAGGGAGATTGGAACTTTTTTTTTCCTTTTATGCTCCCCAGGCAATTCTGATGCACAGCTAAGTTTGGGAACCACTTCTCTAGTTCAGTCCTTATCTGCTACTCTCTTCCATAGGATTTTGCCAAATGGTTTTCTGTCCTTTCTTGTACTCCTCCAGTGATGGGGGGCTTACTACCTTTCAAGGCAGCCCTTCCCACCCATCCTGAGCAAGCTGTGCTTTGTCATAAAGTTCTTCCTCTGCCTCCTATGACTTCCCCTCATGGGTCTGGCTCTGACAGGACCCCACAGGCTGTTTTTGCCATTTAGAGATTTAGAGGGTGCAGTCTAGTTCCTTGAATTCTGAGGGGTGGACATCCCCAGCTCCTTTAGCTACTCCTCACAGGACACAGCCTTCAGCCTCTCCCCCAAGGGGCCGCTTCTTGCTTGCTGCTGGCCTCTCACACCTGCCACAGCTTTCCAAACAGTCTGACCATGTGAAAACTGATACTTTCTTAGTCACGGACTGACTGACTCTATCAGCGAGGCCTGTTAATGACTGACCAAGTAATCCTTAAATCAGTCCACCATGGCGTGCCATGCCAAGTGCCAAACGGGTGCCAGGCTGGCTGTGTGCTGTCGGGGAGGCAGAAGGGGCTTTGCAAAGGGCCACACGGTTGCTGGGAAAACATAAGCATAAATGTGGCAAGATGTAGTGCTCTTAGTGAAGAACTGAATTTTGCAGCAAGGACTGTGAACATCCTAAGGATGACATGGTAACAAAAGATTACATAGAGATGTAGTTTAAGGAATGGGTTAGGTGACTCAGTCAGGTTCAAGCAGGAAAATGTGAACATTCTAAATATGTAGAGAGGTAGAGATTTAATACAGGTGTCAGGTGCTGACAAAATCGCTGGCAGGGCCAGAGGAAGAATCAGAGAGGGCTAAACCTTCAGGACTAACTTCCAGAATGAGAGGGATGTGTCCCATCCGCCTAGTACTCTCTCTGTGCCACTTCTGGAGCTATTCAGCTCAAGACACAACCCTGCAGTCAAGATTCAAAGAGCAGGGAGCTGGAGTCAAGGAGCTGTAGCCACAGCAGCCACCCCACACCTAGGAAGTTGGAGACAGAATGAGGAACATTGATGCAGAAAATCCTCACACTTCTGCCATTGTGCTAGTAATGCTCCAAATGGGCAGGACTATACCCTCCACCTTCCACATCTTGCAGGGGTACTGCTAATCGGCACCACCTGGTTCACTCTAACTGCAACCAAGGCTAGGAAACAGCTCTTAGCTTCCCAGTCTCCCTGACCATAAGGAGGGTGCAGTGAAGTGAGTATGAGATGCGGTTTCAGGATTTAGCATCCTTTATGGCAACAAGATGGAGGCAATCTAAATGTCCATCAACAATTCGTCCTACCGTGGGATTCTGTGCTACCCTGGGGAGGATGATGTTAATTAGTGACAAGAAAAGTTTCATAATATATTACTAAGTTTAAAAAAAAAAGCAGGCAGCAAAATAGAGGTCACCATATGATTTCATTTTTATTAAACGAATTTTTGAAAAATGTGAAGGGAAAAATAGCAGCGAGATGAATGGCAACTTTTGGGTGAAAAACCTGAAGGTAATTTTTTTTCTTTTACCCTTTTCTGTATTTTCCAAGCTTTCTACATTCTGCATATATTCTTTTTGTCCTTAGAACCTCCCCCAAAATGCAGTTTTTAAAAGCACAAATATAAAATCAACTGGGGAAAAGAGCAGTGAAGCGAGGGGAAAAAGTGAGAGAGGGGAGGCACAAAAGAAGTTGAGAGGCTCAAGGATGCATCGTGTGGGAGGGAGAAATGCAAATACAGTTGGGATCCAGTCTCCCACTGGTGCTGGTGTGTGCCCTGGGAAGTCCTGCCTGATTTTGGGCCTTTGTTTCTGCACGCAGACAAGCCCAGCGCCTGGTGGGGAGAAGAGGCCTCGGCCGCGGGGCAGGGTGTCAGCCGCCCCCAGGTGCAGGTGGGGCGTCACTGGAGGCTGAACACTCTAACTGAGCGGAGGCGGGGCCTCCGGCGAGCACCCCGCCGGGAGACAGACTCGATTTAGGAGAGCCCAAACCCGCAGCCGAGAGCGTGAGCCCCAGCCTCTTGCAGGTAACTAGCCCCCTTCTCTCCTTTCCGGGTCCCCCCTCCACCCATCAGGCCGCAGCTCCCCTCCCTGCGATGGAGGCTTCCTCTCCGGGTCTCAGCTTCCCAATCAGGGGGCTGGCCTTTCGGGCCTGGCGTGCGCGGTAGGAACCTTTTCACACTTCCCACCCCTCCCCTGGTAATGGGGTCCCGGAACCGCGCCTGGGGGGCACAGATGACGCCCCGCCCTCCAAACCTTCCCTGTTAGCTCCACTTCGTTACTCCCGCCCACCGGGCCCTCTGCAGCATAGGGCCTCTGGCAGTAGCCGGGAGGCCAGAATGCGCACCCCCTCCCCGCAGGATGGGTGAGTTGGGCACTACCTGGTCCTCGATGACCCAGAAGGTTTGGTCCATGGCACAGTGGGCGCCAATACAGGGAACCGTAAGAAAATGCCCATAGTAGGGAGGAAACACAAAGCTAGTATTAACGAGTCCAAACTTGTTCTGCTCGCTGCTCGATAGGCCAATAAATCCGGAGACCAGGTGTTGGGGCAAGGAATAGTGACTTTATTTGGAAAGCCAGCAGATCAAGAGAATGGCAGTCTAATGCCTTGGAGAACCATCTTACTCAAGTCACAATACAGGCTCTTTTTATACAAGAAAAGGGAAGGGGGTGTAGTTGCTTGGTGTAAACTTCTTGCTGTAGGAATTCTTTGTTCTTGCAGCTTTTCACGTGGGCCAGCTCATGTGCTCCTGCAAAACCTCCAACAAAACAAATGTTATTCTCTATTCTGCAATTTATCTTTACTTGAGTGCAGAGCTAGCAAGACTAAGCCTAGAAAACAGGGCACAGGGTTAAAGCCAAAGGAACAGATCTAATATGGAGTCAGATTTGTTCTTTTCTATTACACTGGGGCTGTGGGAATCAGGCTGAGGCTCCTATTCTTACTTGCTGTGTGTCTTCACTGAGCCCCTGAACCTCTCTGATCTCTATCCTTCTTTCAGAATGGGAATCATTATCTGCCCAGATTCCCCCCTCCCTTGGGGTGGGGCGCTGTTGGGAGGCTCGATGAGTTAACTGCTGAGATGCTGACCTGCAAACTGTAAAGCATGGTGTACTGTGAGCAGTGCTCTTCCCATATGCAGGTGGAGGTGCCAGTGCAGACCCCACATAGGTCCCCTAAAGTAGGAACAGCCTTGGCTGGGCATGAAAGACTTGCCAGCTTGGGTCTGTGACCACCCCTCCCGCCTTGTCTAGCCTCCAACTCCCACCTCTCCTGGGACCCCTCCCTCCTCAGACCCAGGCCTGTTGGATCCAAGGCTCCTTCTGCCCCCGAGCAAAGTGGGCCCTGCGTGTACCCCTGACAGATCTGCTGTCTCAGCTTCCTTCCAACGGACAGCTTCTGGGGCAGCATTGATTGGTGTAGGGCAGGGGACCTGGCCTGGGCCTTGCTTTCCTGGATGAGTTCTTTGATCCTCTCCCAGCCCGGTGGTGAATGGTTGGGGTGCTGGGGGTGAGGGTAGGGCAGGTGCAATTCCCTTTTGCTGCTGGGTGAGGCAGGGCTCAGGAGAGACAGCAAAGGTGGAGAGATTGATGTCCTGGCTGGAGAGTAACTTCAACGAATCTAGGAACTTTATTTTTTTTTTCATTTTTCTTTCTTTCTTTTTATTGAGATGTAATTGACATGTAGCATTATATTAATTTTAGGTGTACAACATAATGATTTGATATATGTACCGAATCTAGGAACTTTATACACCATTTAAATTTCATTGAATAAATTTTACAGACTGTTTAAATTTTATAATTGTTGTTTTAGTAAAGTCTATACTATTTTCAGACTTGCAGGCAACAGTAAACAGAGCCTGTTTTCCAGCTGGGGGTCTCGCTGCACTCCTAGGAAGCTGAGACCAGGAAGCCTGAGGGGTCTGCGTATACTGCCAGCTCTGATGGCCTAGGTGGCATGTGCTAAGCTTTTTATATGCACCACCTCACTCAGCTTTAGCCCTATGTGGCATTTCACATGTGAGGAAACAGGCTCAGAGGTCAAGTGAAGGAAGCCTCTCTCAGAGACCAACCTGTCCCTGAGTCTGTTTGAGTCTACTCCACTCAGATCAATTAAACAGCCTTAGTGGATATGTCGATGTTTCTTCAGTATGCCATTTAATAACTGTCTTTTGAGCAGCTGCTCTTTCTTAGGCATAATTCCAGGCATCAGGGACATTGCAATGAATGAAATAGGACAAAAGTCCCTACCCTCATGGAGCTAACGTTTTATTAGGGGGAGGCAGACAATGAGTGTGTACATAGAAGTGTGTACACCTACTCTTTGGTGGGTCAGATGAGAAAAAATAAGGCGTGGTGTGGGGAATAGAGAGTGATGGAGTGAGGAATGTTGCAATTTTATAAAGGATGGTCAGGGAAGGACTTACTTAAAAGGTGACACTTGAGCAAAGACCCAGAAGAGGTGAGGGAGTGAGCTGGAGGATAGATCGGACGTGACAGTTGGACTAGAGAGCTCTTCCTGGCCTTTGTACCCCTTTCTACCCACGTTTCCAGAGGTGACATACTTTTATGCTAGAATCTTGGGACGTCTGAGCTGGTGGGCCTTTGGGGGCCCTTGTTCCCTTCTGCTGTTCACTCTGGCTGCTGTCCTGCTCCAGAGCACAAAGCATGCTGCGCTTCTGGTGCCCTGGCTGCGCGTCCTGACCACCCTGTACTCCTCAGCAGCAGCCCTCCCAAGCCCCATTCTGAACCTCCACATTCACTACAACCTGAGTGGCAAGATGCAGTCAGCAAGAAGACCTTCCCGGCAGTCAGCCCCACCACCAGGGAGGTCATTGGCCACGTGGCTGAAGGGGACCAGGTTGATGTGGATCGGGCAGTGAAAGCAGCCCGCGAGGCTTTCTGCCTAGGGTCTCCATGGCGCTGGATGGATACCTCAGAGCGGGGTCAGCTACTGAACAACCTGGTCAACCTCGTGAAGCGGGATAGTGTCTACTTGGCCTCACTGGAGACCCTGGACAGTGGGAAGCCTTTCCAGGAATCTTATGTCTTGGACCTGGATGAGGTCATCAAGGTTTAACGGTACTTTGCCGGCTGGGCGGACAAGTGGCATGGCAAGACCATTCCCATGGACTGCGAGCATTTCTGCTTCACCGAGCATGAGCCCATTGGCGCCTGTGGCCAGATAATCCCATGGAACTTCCCCTTGGTCATGCAGGGCTGGAAGCTCACCCCGGCAATTGCCATGGGCAACATTGTGGTCATGAAAGTCGCAGAGCAGATCCTGCTTTCTGTCCTGTACTTGGCCTCCCTCATCAAAGAGGCAGGCTTTCCCCCTAGGGTGGTGAACATCATCACAGGCTACGGCCTGACAGCAGGAGTGGCCATCACCCAGCATGTGGATGTTGACAAAGTTGCCTTCACCAGCTCCACCAAGGTGGGCCACCTGGTCCAGAAAGCCACTGGTGATTCCAACCTCAAGAGAATCACCCTGGAGCTGGGTGGGAAGAGCCCCAGCATCAAGTTGGCCGATGCCGACATGGACCATGCCATGCAGCAGTGCCACAAAGCCCTGTTCTTCAACATGGGACATTGCTGCTGTGCAGGTTCCTGGACCTTCATGGAGGAATCCATCTATGACAAGTTTCTCGAGAGAACCGTGGAGAAAGCTAAGCAGAGGAAAGTCGGGAACTCCTTTGAGCTGGACGTCCAGCAGGGACCCCAGGTGGATAAGAAGCAGTTTGAACGAATCCTGGGCTACATCCAACTTGGCCAGAAGGAGGGGGCAAAACTGCTCTGCGGCGGGGAGCGTTTCAGAGAGCGCAGCTTCTTCATCAAGCCCACGGTCTTTGGTGGTGTGCAGGATGACATGAGGATTACCGAGGAAGAGATCTTCAGGCCTGTGCAGCCCCTGTTCAAGTTCAAGAAGATTGAGGAGGTGATTGAGAGGGCCAACAACACCAGGTATGGCTTGGCTGCCGCAGTGTTTACCCAGGACTGGGATAAAGCCATGTACTTCACACAGGCATTCCAAGCTGGGACAGTGTGGGTAAACACCGACAACATTGTCACCTGCCACGTGCCATTCGGAGGCTTTAAGGAATCTGGCAATGGGAGGGAGCTGGGGGAGGATGGGCTTAAGGCCTACACAGAGGTGAAGACAGTTGCCGTCAAAGTTCCTTAGAAGAACTCTAAGAATGTCTACCAAGGAGACCCAGCTTTTGTCCAAGGATGCTGCAACCACCTGCCTGTGGTTGCCAAACAGGTTTTCAGCCATGGACCCCCTTTATTTGTCCTAAATGAACTCTTAGAGGAAACCTCAACAAATAAAGCAATTAAAATGGGAGCTGCTCTAGTTAAAGCAGGGGTAGGGGTTGGGCTCAGAGTGGAATCCATCTGCACCCCAGCCCCGTTGGTGGCCCTGTGTTACTTCCATGAAACCTTAGGAGTCTCTGGAAGACAGATTAAAAACCACTGATCTGGACAATGGCTTTAAGTTCTTCCTGCTGATCCAAGGACTTCCCGGTGGAAGTCTTCACTGATGTCTTAGAGGGTATCACAGACGTGGGATTGGAAGGCACTAGGAGTTTTAAAGTAGGCCACATAATTTTGGCCCCATTCTTCAGTGATGTACCCTAAAAATCAAGGGTGCTTTTCCAAGTACCAGTTGCTGGCTGGTTTGCTTGCTTGCATTGCTACTGATTTTGCTTAATTCGAGGGAAGGGGTGAAGAGAGAATGCATTTACATAACCATTCCTTTAAAGCAAGCTCAGACAGCCCTAATGTCCATCAACTAATGAGTGGATAAACAAAATGTTTTCATGGAATATTTCTTGTACTGTTCAGCCTTAAAAAGGAAAGAAGTACCGACACGTGCTACAACATGGATGAACCTTGAAACCATTATGCCAAGTGAAAGAAGCCAGACATACAAGGCCACATATTGTGTGATTCCATTTATATGAAATATCCAGAATAGGCAAATCCATAGAGACAGAAAGTATATTAGTGGTTGCCAGGGGCTAGAGGAGGAGGGAATGGGGAGTAACTGCTAATGGGTATGGGATTTCTTTGGGGGAGGTTTTGAAATGTTCTGGAATTAGTGGTGATGGTTATACAACTTTGTGAACATACTAAAATGCACTGAATTACACACTTTAAAAAGGGTGACACAACATTGTAAAATGACTATAACTCAATAAAAAATGTTTAAAAGGGTGAATTTTATGCTATGTGAATTAATTTCAGTTAAAATAAAATAACCTCACACATCATGTTTGCAAATCAATTTTGTATCCATATTCTCTTGCAGCTGAACATTTTAGAGTCCTGGGGATGGAAGGGACCCTGATTGTCCTCCAGTTAGCCCCTAGCCGGGTGCAGAAGTCCCTTCCATGATGTTTCTAGTTTTGATTTTGTTTTCCCTTGGCTGGGTGACAAAGTGCAATGTTAAGACTCACAGAGAAAAGTGTGTGCTGGGTCCTACCCAGAGCGAGTCCATTTCAGGTCATTTCAAGGCTCCTACTGGCGTTGTCCCTCCAACCCCCACCAAAACACACCTCCCCTCAAGCTATGCTTAGCATCAGGGCCATCCAGACTTGCTAGGGTTTTCGGAGTTTAAAACCTGAGAATTCAGTATGTTTGCTACTAGTCTTACAACTCTAGTCCCCAACTGATGGGACTGAATCCAAGCCAGCCAGACCATGATCCAGAAACAGAGCTGAGCCACTCTCTCCTTGTCATCCATCTTTCTAGACCGTGTTCTCATAACTCACCATACTTTTAGGTCTTGTCAATGACACCAGCGTCATCTCTTTAACATCCTGATCTCACCTAGGCATCGAGACTGTTTGGTCAATACCTCACCGCGGATTTCGCTTGAAACTGCTTTCTGAGGATTCAAGGTCTGTTTGGTTCCCTCATCGCCCCTTCCCAGGACCTCCTTTCTAACCATTTGCCGAGGGCTGTGGTGACTAACTGTCCCTCAGAGTGCACTTTCCATCTATCTTCCTTGGAGGCTATTGGCACTTTGGACAATAGTGCAAGTTTCTCATGAAGCGGGCAAGGAGTGAGTGGGTGGATGGGTGGATGGGATCTCTAATGATTAACAAATAATATCCCATTTTTTAAACAGATCCATTCCTCATTGGCTTCTCAGTACTTCTAAATCAAAGAGGAATTTTGTAGAGGGTCTCCCAGTGCCGGGTGGGACTGGGAAAGGACGATCTCTGCCTCCCTCATTTCAATCCCTGAAATTCTGAGATTGAGGAGTCAGACAGGTCAGATTCCCAATCAGCTCAGCCCCGCAACCCCTCTGTAATCATTACCATCGCTCTGAATGCAGGCAGGTGTGAGCAGGGAGGCTGAATCGGGCATCATTATTAAGTGTAGTGCCTGTACGACTTCACTTGGTGATAGATGTTGCAGTTTGCCCCCCTCCCCATTCAGCAGACTTACACCCAGTGCTTAGTTTGTCAATCACTGTGCCTTACATGTCATTGAAGCCTTACAACAATCCTATCAAGTAGGCAGTGGGGTTTTACCCTTTTCTTCACATGCGGAAATGGAAGCTGAGAGGTTTTGTATGCAGCTCATTTGGAGTTACTTCCCAGGTGCCTACACTATGGGCCGGAAAGGGATGTGATATTGTGATTTATAATAAGTATATATTCGGTCTTCACCTGATTCTGGCAGAGCTCCTAAAACTCTTGGAATTTCCTAAGTGACAAGAGTGATAAAGGTATCTTTTGTTACATTAATGATGTGATTTTGGGGGTCTAAGGATGAGGGCTTACTGCCATGAGAACCAACTTTGAAATTAGAGGGTAGGAGGATTCAGTCCCACCCCCATGTCCTCCCAGGAGGTGAGAGGGGCTAGAGGTTCAATCAACTGCCAGTGGCTAATGATTTAATCAATCATGTCTGTGTCCTGAAGCCTCCATAAAAACCCAAAGGGCTGGGTTCAGAGAGCTTCCTGGTGGGTGAACACGTGGAGATTCCAGGGAGAGAGGTGCACTTGGAGAGAGTGTGGAAGCTCTGCACCCTGTCCCCGTGCACCTCGTCCATCTGGCTGTTCCTGAGTTACATCCTCTTATTATAACCTGGTAATCTAATAAGTAAAATGTTTCCTGAGTTCCAATAGCTGCTGTAGCAAATTAATTGAACCCAAGAAAGGAAGCGGTCATGGGAACCTCCAATCTGAGCTTTGTCAGTGGAAGCACAGGTGACAACCTGGACTTGTGACTGGCATCTGGAGAGGGGGATGTGGGTGGGGTGGGGAGAGAGTCTTGTAGGACTGACCCCTGACCTGTGGGACCTGACACTGTCTCCGCGTAGATAGTGTCAGAGTTGAGCAGAAGTCTGCATCCTGCTGGTGTCTGAGAATTGCTTGTTGGGGTGGGGAACCCTGCTTCCTGAGCAACATACATGTTGGAAATGGGTCCAGAAGACGGGGAAGGGTGGGGGCAAACTAAGAGCATATCGAATCAAACTCCAAAGCCTGAAGAGCCCACAGCAATGCTGAACGAGCCCAAATACCCAGTCTTTCCGCTGGGTCCACTGGGGCTGCTGCTCCATCACTCTGCTTCTCCAGATCAGATCCCAGGTTGCAGGCCATTTAAGAACTTGTTTGAGTTGGCTCTATTCTGCGTGTGAGGCTGACCTCTGGTGGTCCCTTTGTTAATTAATTTGAAGGCTGAAGTACAGGCTCTCAGCGGGTTGCAGGGAAAGAGAATTGAATGAGGCCATCTCTGTCCTGCAGGGGTTCATGGTCTGGCAGGGGCATATTTACAGAACAAAGTGAAAAGTGCTGTGATAAGTAGAAGTAAAGAAGTCATGAAGCCACAGAAAGAAAAATATTAAGTACCCACAGTATTAATAAGGTACCTGCAATATTGTTCGTTATCATTTAGTGCTTCTGATTACCCTCAGGGGACTCATTAGTACCATTCCACACTTGGTAAATAAACATGGATGCCCAGCCATGTTCAGCTAGGAAGTTGAGCCAGGACTCAAACTCAGTTCTTCCAACTCTGTCCACTGCCCCCAGCTCAGTCCAAGGGAAAGGCCCAATGGGAGGAGCACAGGATTCTGCAGGATGAGCAGGAGGTAACCAGGCAGAGGGATGCAGGAAGGGTGTTTCTGGGAGAGGGAAGGGCATGGAGTCTGTGAGAATGCACAGAGGGAGTGAGGAATGGTGTGAGGAAGGGAGGCCTGGGAGGAGGCAGGGGCTGGATGGTAAAGAGGCTGTACCCCTGTGAGTCCAGCCATGGGAAGCCGTGAAGTTCTTCAAAGGAAAGTGACGGGGTCATATTTTGGTTCCTAAGGCTGGCTCTGCTTCAACGTGTAGGTTAGGTTGAAGGGCCAGCCTGGAGTCAGAGGCCAGTCAGGACACTGCTGCCTATGCCAGGGATGCTGACCTGAACCAGGTGTGAGAATGCATAGGAGATCCCGGGAGCCAGGAGGTGGGCTTTGGGGCGTGGTGACAGATTGCTACAAGAGGAGAGTGAAAGTTAGGGTGATCCCGTGTTCTTGGCTGGGGTATCCAAGTGGGTGGTGGTGCCCCCAATGGGAAAGGGAGCCCAGCTGGAGGAGCAGGTCTGGGGACAAGGTGGTGAGTTTATTTACTTATTCATTTATTCAGCACCCTTTGTTGAGCTGACTTTGTGCTAGGAACAATCGCAGGTGCTCAGGATACAGCAGGAACTAAAGTCCCACAAATCTTCCCTGATGGGCAAGGCTGACCATAAGCAAAGTAAATGAAACATTTAGTCCATTGGATGATTAAGGTTATTATGGAGAAAGGTTGTGGGGGGCCTGCTGTGGGTTGAGAGCATCACTTAACCCCCCACCCCCAGTGATCTATACATTAATCCCAGAGTTGGAAGACGGAGGGAAAGCAAGAAGGCACATTACGAAGGCCATTGAGAAACCCTAGTCTCCCCACTGACTTAAACCAGAGTGGACCAAGTAAACGGCCCAAGGCCATGGAACTCTGGGGCCAGAGCATGGGCTGGATTACAGGTCTCTCGGTCCCAGCCAAATACTCTCCCCATGTGTTTCAGCATGATGTTAGCTGCCACAACAAATAAACCCCTAAGTTTGCGGGGGTTCAGCACAAGTGTTTGTTTCTTGCTTACCTAATAATCTAATGCCGGTATCTGGTCAGTCAGCACCTTTCCTCCACGTGGAGATTCCATCTTGTGGCTCCACTATCCACGGTGGTTCTAAATCACTTTTGTGTTATGTATTCCTTTGAGACACTAGTGAAAGGTAATTTTTTTTCACCAGAAAAAAATGCACACATGCACATCCACACAAAATTTTGCACACTTTCAGGAACTCATAGACTCCATGAATCCATCTATAGAATTCCTAGGGGTCCACCAGCCTGGGTGAAAACCCCCTGCATGGAGCCTCAGAGACCTCAGGTCCCCAGGTAATTGGGGAAGAAAGTATGGAAAAGGCACAGCTGCTTCTTAAAGCCCTGGCCTTGGTGTGGAATGTCCTGCTTCCATTCACGGCCATTGGCAAAACCACCTGACCCAACCAAGGTGCAAATGGAGGTGGGAAATGTAGTTATGGGAACACTTGCATGTTGTCCTCAGGTTTTGGAGGACAGCTCGCCGCCTGCCCTGACACACACAGCACCTCCTTGCAGGTAAGCGTGGTAGTCAGTCTTTCTTACAAAGATGCTTTTAGAGTTTAATCCTCTTGTGGGCTGTTCATTCCTACTTTCCAGCCTTGATCATGCTGTCTCTTTCTCCTTCTTTCTCTCCAAATTCAGCCCATTTTCTTGGCACCCTGCCAGGGACCCACCTCCTCCAGGATGCTTTATCTGAGCATCTCAATCAAGCCGCCTCTGGCCCCTTTGAGCTCATAGCACCCACCCTTCCTTTAGTCTCACCCTGTGGCAGCTCTTGTTTGTTAGCGTGTATGTGTAATGAAATGGGTCAGATTTTTTTGTCTCACTAGACTGTTTCCCACAGACCACCCCCCAGCATGTCTGATCTGTCTCCCTTCACCCTTGCCACCTGGCACACAGCCCTGGAGAGTGGACAGTGCATGTCCATTTGCTCATGGGATCCTCAGGGCAGCAGGAAAGGGCAGCGATGCTGACCTCCCTAGACTGATGAGGAAATGGGGCCCCAAGAGTAGAGGGAAGTAACCCAGACCCACTGACCATGGCAGGTTCCGGGTCTTCCAACTCCAAAGCTAATGCCCATTGTACCCGAGGGACGACTACCATACCTCCAGTAGCACAGAGACAAGTCTAGATCTTTGTGCCAGAGCCATGACTCTGGGAACTGTGAGCCACAGTAGGTCCCTGAGCACCCAGCAGTGCCTGGTGCACAGTAGGTGCTCTGCAGACGTGTGTGGTGGGTGGATTTATGAATGGAAATGAGAGGCTTCTGTCCCTGCCCCCCACCACCCCACTCCCTAGTACTAACGATTTTTACTCTTCCCCTGACAAGCAACCACTCTCTAATTTCATGGGAGAGATGTAGGATAATGAAGAGAGAGCCACAGTGAAAGGACACATAGGAGCAGTCAAGGCTGAACTCCAAGGCAGCTCTGATCATAAAAAAGTTCATGCTCCAGGAGAGGAGTCAGCCCCGCTGAGCCGAGCGTGGGGAAATGTTGGTGTCTAGTTCTGCCCTGGGTGATGGGCTCCCACGTTCTGAATTCATTATTCAGCTGCAGACACCAGGGCACTTTAGTTTCCCTTAATTAATTAAAATATCACATAATAATCATTCTCTGATTTAATGTTCAAGAGGCTCTGGTGGAGGCTGGAAATGGGGAAATTCATTAGGGGAGACTGTTCACTGTCGACTAGTTTGCTTGCTCTTATTAATTTTCCCCGTGTCATCCATCTCGGGGGGAGAGGGGAGGGCAATGTTCTTTAAAAACATAGGATTAATTTCACCCTAAAACTTGAAGAAAAAAAATCCCTCATGACTAAAAACCACACTTCTTTTGTTTAAGGTGGAAAGTGAGTAACTTTGGGATTGAACACTGGCTTTTGGATGACCTTTCTCATTCCCATTTATAACCCAGTTGACAACAGAAGACTAAGATTCAGACCCATTGCTCACAGCATCAGGTCCAGCCTCTTCTGATGGCATTTAGGGGTGTGGTCCCAAACCACCCCCTATCTGCCACTAGGGCTCCCAGCAGCCACCACTGGTCACTGCTCCCCATTCACCAACCACACTGCACTTCTCCACCCCTGCTCCTTTCAGATGCTGCTTCCCTAGCCTGGAATCTCTCGCACTTATTCCAATCCCCAGCTCAGATGCCTAAGCCCAGATATTAAATATTCACCTTCTTTCTTGATTAAAAGAAAAGAAAGAAAGCTTTATTTCTGGGTGAGGTCAAACCATCTCTAAGGAAAATGTATTGCACTCCACTCTAGTTCCACAGCCCAGGGAGAGTAGCTGACCCCATTTTTACAGTTTGATGTCCAGAGGCCAGGTCTCCACTGCCCATCTGGTTAGAGAATGCTGGCCTTGTTAATAAGTAGATGTCTTGGTCCCCAAACACTCAGCCCGGTTAAGTATTCCAGCTAGGACGGAACCTCTTTAAAATGGGAAGATGGCAGGAACAGACGAGCTACAGCCAGCTGTCCACACCCTAGTATTTGCTTTTTGAGGGAATACCATTTTAAAAAGGATGCTAAGACTACACTTCCTGTATTTTTTCCGTAGGACCATCTTACACTGGGATGGCGGCACTCAAAGAAACAGGAAACATCCAGTTCCAATACCACATTCACAGGTGAAGAGACCAAGGGCCAGGGAGGGGAGGGACCTGCCCAGGTCCCACAGCAAGTTAGAGGTCAGGCAGAGGACAGCAGGGTCCTCCCCACTCCTCCTACACACAGTGTTTTAAGTCACAGAGCTCCGCTAATCGGTCCTAGACAAATGAGGTAAAGAGTCACAGCTGACACATGCCGTGGTCCAGCCCTTTAGAATTACAAATACACGGTAACAAATATACCTTCCCTTGGAGGGAATAGGTAAAAAAAGAATTCTCACAGAGCTATTCATTTCAAAAGTATAAAAAGGCTACATGCAGTCTGTTTTCCCAATGTTTGTCCTGCTAAAAACTACATCTGCATACGAATCTAGTGTGCATCTAATTTTTAAAAACGTACAAAAGGGGTCATCTACAAACACAGTTTTTCCAACTCTTCACAAAGCAAAACGATCCATGGCTTGACTTTTCCGTCATCCTGTGATCAGTGTTTCTAAGACCCTAGAAGGAAAGAGGGAAAAGAATTAGAGAAAAGAAGCCTGCTTTGTCACAGACAACTATGTGTTAGATGAAAGGTGGGGTAAATGACCCTAACTTTAAATCTCTCCCCAGCCAGGAGTGGGGGTGGTGGGGAGCAGAGATGCCCTATGGGGGTCCAAGAAGTTCATATAAAACCAGTGGGTGGGCATTTCAGGGAGGCAGGTTCCAGCTTAATATAAGGAGGAACTTTCAACTTTTGGAAAATCTAAAGATGGTTGTCTGGTGGTAGTGAGCTCTGTGTCCCTGGAGGTATGCAAACAAGAGCTGGCCAATTTTGCATGTTATAGAGGGAGCTCAAGAAATAGGCGATGGCAATGGTCGTAAAATTCCACAGTTCTTTATGACTCCTTTTGAAAACTCATCTATGATAAACTATGTACATAGCCTGGTATCATTTCTGTATTACACATACATATGTGTATGTATATATAGTTAAAATTATATATATATTTAAAACATGAAACTTGTACACATGTACATACATAAATATACATACAAGTGTACAGAACAAAAAGTCCTGATACCTGACTTTTTGTTCCACATGTATGACAATACACGTATAAAAACCAGAAGGTTAAGTATCAGGAGGGCAACTGTAAGAGCCATCTCCTAACTGAATTCCTATTTGACGATTTTACACCTTACATTTTCCTCCCTGTTTCCAGGAGCTCTAACCACCTGTTATCTACCCATCCTTCAACCCCAACCTCACTTCCTCAGCAAAGCCTTCCTTGATTTTCCCCAGTTCTAAGCCGCCTCTCTTGCCTCAAACTCACACACGCCCCATATTTCCTTAACATTACATTCCTTATAGTTTAATGCAGTTCACCTTTCATTTTTCTGTGCATATCCTACAGACCCTGTACACAGAAGGAGCATGGCAACAGTGTCTAAATACGGAATAATATGGATTACAAACACAGCCAAATCCTTCTGCTTTTCCTAAGCTGTCAAACCTGCTTCTCATTTTTCCTGCTCTATTAAAAAGTCATCAGGCAGCCTTGGTGATGGTACCTGTTCATGACTGTTCCTCCCTCCGATCCTGTACGAGGATCATGCACCCTGCCCTCAGCCTCCTGTGAGAGAAGACATCCCTCTACCCCACTGAGGCTGGGTGTGGCCGTGTGACTTGCCTTGGCCGTGGACCTAAGCTATGTGACCTGTGCCACATGGGCACAGAAACTTTAACTGAGACTGTGTGTTTGGCTCAGCCTCTTGCTCGTCCCCTCGGCCGTAAGAATGGACATACTCCACACTGGGAGTTTTTGTTTTTTTCTTAATGTACGTGTAAATGATTCGCGTGTAACAAATTTGTCATAGGACTCATATTTCTCTCAGTTGTATTTAAAACCATTTGTTATGCACTTTGTACAGAGGAATACTAGTCATACTCTATAAACTTTACACAGTAAAATCCTATTCTGGTTTTAAAAAAACAAAAACAAAGCTGGGGACCCTAGCTGGGTCCCCACGTGAGAAGACACATGGAGCAGAGCCACAGCCAGCCTGCAGCCATGACACGGAATGTGAGCAGGAGATCAGTGCTGGTGGCTGTGACCCAGCAGGGCTGGGGGCTGTGAAGCAGCAAAGGCTGGCTGATAAAGGGACTTGCTTCCTAAGTTCCCAGTCTACCTGTTGGAGGAGGACAGATGCAGCCCACCTCTCACTTGGGTGGCTATGAGGATAGGAGCCACCTGGCCAGGGGAGAAGCCAATTCTCCTGGAGGTGTGCTGCTGAGGCATACGGTGCTGAGGATGGGGAGGCAAGGCCCGGAGACAGCAGAGCTACAGACAGGGAAGAACCCGGGGACAGACCCAGGTGGCTCAGACTGTCTTCCTTGCAGGCGGGCGTTCACGTGGGTGCATCACAGTGATGATATCTGTTCTCTCAGCGCCCTTGCTGGGCGGACTCAGAAGAAATATTCCATTCAGCCTCAGAAACAGAAAAAAACAACTGGTCTCTTTCACCTGACGGGCTCCCATAATGTTCAGAGCTCTTGACGCTGCATGCTAGGTGGGAAGCCCAGAATGACACCTATGTAGCACATACTAGAGAGTCTACCTGCTGACTGTAATCCATTCCTGCTCTTGTTTTGCATGCCCCTGGGTCCCTCGATTCATGTATTTTTCTTCTTACTTATTACACATCTTACAAGCCATCTCAATCTCTTGTGACACAGGTGTACAGACACTGAAAATGACTTGAAACACCCACATTACTCCGTCACATGTGGTCATCCGGAGCCGGGAAGCGGGGGGCCTTGTACTGACTCAGATCTACCACCGTCACCGTGCCGTGGGACTGCGCCTCCCCAACCGCGTTGGCTGAGTGGCACTGGTACACTCCCTCGTCTTCCTTCTTCAAGGGATTGATCTGGAAGTTAAACAGGCAAGTTTATACAGTCATATGTCGCACAACAAAGTCACTTCCTTAGTTTGTTCTTAATGATTTGTCTGAAAGCTTATTCCTTTTCAAAATAAGGCAGCTCGCTCTATTTCTCTTCTTGCCTTGGTTGCTGAGAAAGAGTTAAATTTCCTCTTTATCTGGCTCTCATGTTCATGTTTCCTCTACATTCCTGTCTTTTACTGTGAGCTACCTACCTGGTCCTTGTATTGAAGGGGACAGGTAGAGTTTAAAAGGAAAATTCTACAAAGAACAAAAATCTACTGACCAAGGTATGGCCCACAAGTGCTCCCAATGAAACAGCCCTTACAAATAACACCAGAGATAACCTTTCCCCTGCCTCTTCTTGTAAAAAAGTGGGGGGAATTTGCTTGATTTGAAGAAGCCATGGACTTGACTGCATTCTGAGTCTCTGAGCTGGGTGGAGAAGTCACCAAACCTGGCAGAGCTGGGGGTAAAATGAGGAAGACCCCTCAGAGAGCCTTTCTCACGCAGATCCACGACAGCCCCCTCCTCTCTTGCTTTCTCGTTACAACGGTCTCTCTCGACTGCGCATCACTACAGATTGTAGAGAGTTTATGCATGCCATCTCATTTTGATCCATACCTCGATTGTGGTTGAAGGGGGAGCATCATAGTCCTCATATTACAGGAGACTCACAGGGAAGCCACAGAATGTTAGGGTCACAGGACCCTTGGACGCCGTCCAGTCCAAAGCCCTCTTTTTATGTTGTGGACGCTGAAGCTGAGGAAGGTAGAGTGACTAGCCTAGCATGGACCCCCATCTCGCCCCTCCGTGGCTCTTTCAAACACGTGGCATTCCTTTTTCTTAGCAAAACTGCTGCACGGGGCATAGGAGAGCCCTGGAGGAGGGCATAAAGGTGCTATCTTCCCCCTTTATCAGTCATGTGGTCTCAGCCAAGTGTGTTAGTTTCCTGCAGCTGCTGTTACAAATTACCACACACTTAATGGCTGAAAACACCACAAATGTATTATCTATGGTTTTTGAGGCCCAACTGGGTCTCAGCAGGCTAAAATTAAAGTGTCAGCAGAGCCGCCTTCTTTTTAGAGGCCCTAGGAGAACCAGCCTAGTGGCGGCCTGCAGTCCTGGGCTTGTGGCCCCCTCTTCCAGCTTCAAAGCCAGCACAGGTGGTTCCTGTCTTCTCACATTGCCATCTCTCTGGCTCTCAACCACCTGCCTCTTCCACAAGTAAAGGACTCTTGTGATTACACTGGGCCCTCCCAGATAACCCAGGATAAATTTTATTACAGTGAGCTGATTAACAACCTTAATTCCATCCACAACCTAAATCCCCTCTTGCCATATAACCTAACATATCCACTGGTTCCAGAGATTAGGGCATTTTCTGAGGCCAAATTCTGCCTACCTATGCCTGCTCTCAGGGGTTACGCTACCTGCCCTGCTTCTCCCACAGTTACTGTAGGGTCCCAGGAGAAGCGGATAAGAACATTTGAAAGGTGTAATGTGTCACAGAAATATAAAAGGTTCTTTACAAGGGCCAGTCATAACAGCCAGTAATCCTAAACAAATGAGATACTGACCAAAATCCAGGCTGTGGCCTCGTGCTCAGAAGGGCCCCCTCGCACCTGGACGGCTATATTGATGTGGTCCCCAGGTAGGTCCTCCAGCACCTGGGTGCCCTCAGGAGACTGTGTGACCTACAGAGAAAAACCAGGAATGGTTTGGAAAAAGCATTTCTGGATAAGGACCTCCCCACAGACATCCTCGCTGTCTTCATCTTCCCTGACTTGAAGGCTGCAACCCTAGGACCTCTTATTCCTATTAAAATGCCAGTTGCTTCTTAAGGCTGAATGTATGTACAGATGGCACCCCCTGCTGGACAGCAAAGATGCGGATACCACCACTATCTACTAGAATTTCATGGCCCTCCTCAGGGCTGTTGAAGTCAGGGGACAACATATGCTGTGACCCAGGCCAGTTGTTCAGAAACTCATCTGCAGGAAGATTGAATTTTGGAATAGGATTGGGTCATTTTCCACTAGCCAAGTCTTTCTGAAACCCAGATCCACTGAAGCAGGCTCTAACTATCCCAGCTGACCCAGGCTAGATAAACAGCAGAACTTTCAGGACAGCTAAAGTGTCAGAGGGAGGAAAGCTCTCTGTGGAGAGCTTTCCAGTAAAAGTTCTGAGGCATAAATCTGGAGGCAGAGGAGTGGAGCATAAGATGTTTCTAAAAATCCTCCGATTCACATAAAAAGATACAAACACACTTAAAAAACATTTACATCCACCCCCACCACACACACAGAAGTTCTTGGATATAAATACCTTCCTCCATGTGACGACTGGGGTAGGCACAGCCCTCACCTCACAGGACAGGTACACCGGTGCCCCAGTGACGTTGTGAACACTCTGCGGTGGAGTGATGACCACAGGAGCTGGGAGAAGCAGACAAGGGAACACAACCTTGACCCTGACCAAGCCTCCCAGATCGAAGACTCCCTGCCTGCAGAGTGCAGGTTGGGACAGTCTAACGTGAGCGGGGCAGGGCAGGTGAGCACTCTCCACACAGAAAGGACACACTCACAGGCAAGGAATCATAGAAGAGAGTTCCCCCTAGACCTGGAAAGATGCCTACGTGTTTCCTCATTCATCGCCTTTGTTCTACCAACGGAAAACAGGGATGCAGAGAGGAAGGGCAACTTCCCAAAGTCCCTCAGCACGTCTGTGGTTTCATCACCCTCACTCCCAGGGCCCAGCTGCCATCTGCTTACAACTCAACTACATGTACGACGGCAGGCTCCGGGAGGGGCTGGTGTCACTTCACCCATGGCAGTCTCCTAACAGATGGGCTTTTCTCCTTCCGCGTGGAGGGCGTTTCAAAGAATAATGCCATGAAGAGCAGCTGTGCTCACTCTGAGCTGAGACCCCCTGCAGTTCAAGATACTCATTTGCATATCAGACCCCCCACCCCCACCCACACTCCCCATCCCTGAGGGCAAAACTGCAGGTGTGGAAGCTGAGCCTGTCTGCCCAGAGAGAGGCAAATCAGGGAGTCAGGCAATGTGGTTCTAGGCCGCCAGGACATTACAGAAAGGACAGGGAGGTGTGGGCTCCCCCAGCACCTGGGTGGAACTGGAGAGCACGTGGCATTCGAGTCAGACATTCTTAGCTGATACTCCACACTCTGCCCTCCTCCCTGTGCCTGGCATCTCTTCTGCTCACACTGGGACTACAAGACTCAAGGCCAGGTGCCTTGGCCTTCAGGGCCTCCTCCATCCGGCCCTCAGCATATCTGCCCTCACTGCCCTGCCACCCCTCCACATCGGAAGCACCCTCACCTCCCAATCCTGAGGGCCTGGGGGGTCTGGGTCTTAGTCCAGGAAGGGGGGAGGTCTGCTCCTTTTTGACCTGTTGAAGCCCAGCCTGCCTTGTAGTCCAGGCACTTCCACCTGGTCTCACTGGCCCCACCTCGCAGCTGGCCCCGGGGGTCTTGGGCAGGGCACAGTGTCGGGGCCTGGCAAGGAAAACGCGCTCTGCTCAGGTCTGCTGGTAAATGGGGATAGCACTCTCTGCTTCACAGGGCTGTTGAGCTGATCTTACCACATGATGAGTGTGAACATAAGGGTTTAAGTTCACACAATATGCAAGTGGGGGCAGGAGTGGGACTGTCAAACAGATGACTGGGTAAAGAAACACGACAAATCAAAGAGCAAACACTCTCATCCTTGGGCCATCAAACTGCAGAGTCTACAACTCTTGGGACTTCACCTGGAGACTCATGGACATCCCTGCGGCCCTCCACAGGCCAGCACTGGAGAGGGAAAGGGCCCTGGCCCACCAGGTGGGGCTGTGATAAAAGCAGGAGAACAAAGGGAGGGAGACAGAAGGCTGGAGAAAGAGTGTGGGGGGAAGGAGTGAAAGGCAAAGAAATGAGACTGATCTGGCCCCTACAGAGCCAGTCAAGTTGGTGCCAAAAAATCTCTGAGAAATTGTCTAAGGGCCAGAGTCTCAAACTGGAGGAGCACAACTCCCCAGGAGCATGTGCCTGACTGACTGTGATGTGCTCATCTAGCCTCCGTTTGCACGCCCCCAGTGACAGAGAGCTCACCACCTACGGAGCCAGGAGCTTCCAACCATGGCTGTGCTGGTGAGATAGCTTGTCCTCACCTGGAGCTAAAACCCGTCTCCCTGTAACTCCCACCTGTCAATCCCAGGGCTGCCCTCAGGAGCCCCGCAGCACCCTGCCTGCCCTCCTCACCCCAGGCTGCTTTCTCCCCCTCAGCCTGATCAACTCACTCCTTCAGCTGTGACTAACTGAATGCCCTCCAAGCACCACATCCCAACTCACAAACCCGAGGGTAGCCAGTGCCCCGAATGAACCAAGGTTGTAGGCTTCCAACATTGCCCGCACCCCAGCCACCTGCCAACTGCCACAAAGGACCACAACACCCTGCCTCTCTGGCGGAGCCCCATCTGCGACGGACGACAAAGAGAGTCTAATTTATTCACATCCTCCTGCCAGCAGCACCTCCCCTGGAGCCCAGACCAGTCCTCAAATGGCTCGCTGTGGGAACAATCAGAGCTGCATCTTATTCCAAAGCCCTCAACGGATTCCAAAGGGACACTCAATCAACATGTTTTACTTTCGTTCATGTAAAGTCATAAATTTTAAATGAGATTTCATCAATCCCTTTCAGGCCTAAATGAAAACAGCAGTAAATCACATTTCATCTCTCTCCCTGCATTTCCCTCTTTTTCAGTAACTACAATTAAGAAAGACTGTCTTGGAAATACTGCCTTTGCCATGCCTTTCGTGGCAGAAAACAGCACTTCTTTTGTAAAAGTGCTCCCTGCTTTTGATGATAAAGTGACATTCAAATTTTGATTTATTTTTAAATGTCCATACAGTACATTCACTCCTTCTGGTGTATAGTTCTAAGTTTTGACGATTGCACATAGTCGTGTAACCAGTACCAAGACTGCACTGTTGGTTACCTCAAAAAATTTCTTCATGCTGCTCTTTGTCATAGTTATTGGTTTTGCATGTTAACATATCTGATTTTAAATTTAAAATACTTTTATCCATAATAGCTCTTTACAATCAGTCATCATGATGATGATAGTAGTAATGGTAATGATGCTACCAGCTAACACAGAGCTTGCCATGTGCTACGTACCCTTCTGCTTGCAGGGTTAACCCATTTGATCCTTCCAGCAACCTCCCCAGCTGCCAGCTAGGGGAGCTAGCAAGGGTTACCCAGGCTTAAACAGTAGAGCCCCAGGGGCTGGCCTGAGCTCTGTCCCACACCATCTTGACTTCTCCTGAGATGACATTTCCATGTCCACCACTCCTTTCATCCTCACATTAGCCCTGCGAAGTAGGTGCTTTTATCCCCATTTTCCAGATAAGAAAACCAAGGCTCAGAAAGGAGAAGCACCTGGAAGAGCAGGGCCCCAAACCCCGGCACCCTGATCCTGTGAATTCCATATGGATTTTTAAAGTGAAACGTTTGTTATCTGTATGGATTCCATTCCAGAATATGAAAGAATTCCTTAGGGATTGTGTTGGGGGCCTCCAAGACAAGTCCCAGGTTCAATGATTTGCTACGAGGACTCACAGGACTCCGCATATTTTACACACAGCTGGGATTTATTATAACAAAAAGAGACAAAGCAAATCAGCAAAAGGAAAAGTCTCAAGGAGCAGAGACTGGGGGAATCACGCACATGTTTCCAAGAGCCTCTCCCAGTGGAGTCACACAAGATGCACCTAATTCCCTAGCAACAAACATGTGACAACACATGTGACGTGCCCTCTACCAAGGAAGCTCACTGGACACTCAGTGCCTGGTGGCACCATTGGGAGCTGGTCCCCAGGCACCCTCAGCCTACTGCATACCAAAATTTCAGACCTGTAGAATGAAAGTGTAAACCACGTTGTTTGTACAGTTCAGACAGTGAACTACTGTTATCAGTTCTGGAAACAGTGGGAACCCTCCCCAAATCCAACTTCCCAGATACCAGCCAAGGGTCAACCTTCCCAGCAGGCCTTCCTAAGGATGCCAGCCTCAAGTCTGCTGTGTTACTCTTTTCTGCATAGAAGTGGAACCCTCCGTACATCACCCGAGGGAACAGCTCTTGTGAGGATGCCAGTAAATGGGTGATGTGTCCTTAATCCTGGCCAGTCATTTTCAGGCCTGCTGTCCCCAAGGGCTCATTTGAGTGTGGCACTGGGGTGCTCAACCTCCTGACTACCGCAGGCAGGAGGAACTCGGGTTCAAATCCTATCTCTGCCACACTCCAGGGCTGTGACTTGGCCTCAGTTTCTTCTTCTTAAAAGTGGGCACAGTTCATTCTCCCTCTTTTCCCTGCCCCATAGGCTGTTGTGCAGAACAGTTACAAGACACTTTGCCAACTGTGAAAGGCTTCCATGAAGGGACCTCAGGAATCAGCAGGGTGTGCCACCCAAGGGTAGTCTCCTCTAAGGTGCCCCGCCTGAACAAGACCCTCTATTGGCCTCTGGGGAGCGGGCCTATTAGTGGGCGCTGCCCAGAGGCTCCAGAGGCAGTGGCTCATTGCCCTCACTCTGGCAAGCCCAGGGCCCAGCCTCTCACCTTACTGTTGTCAGAGCTGCCACACTCCTGAAAGAGCTGGGGCTCTCGTCTCTACCGACTTTGGCAAGAGTCATGTTGCCTTCAGGAGGGAGGATGGCCCAGTCTGGGAATGCACCAGCTTCATCTCTCTAGCTCTTCCTTGCTAAACACTCGTTTGCTTCTGCTCATGCCAGCAACAGCCCTGGAAATGCTGGGGTGGCACAGACTGACCATCAGGAAACAGAATAGTCGCCCAGGTGTGCACCTACAGAGGCAGCACTGCAGGTGGGCAAAATAGTACCAAGGGAAATTCAAATGCCTGGGGGTCCAGTCGCCAACCATTAGTCAAGTTGCTAAGAATTTCCTCCTTATCTACAAATGAAGATGAGGACTGTGTCCCCACATCCTCCGGGGTGTACGGAGAGGAGGGATGTGACTGCGTTATTATCCACAGATACAAATGAAAGGGATCGATACTGTTATTAGTGTGTGGGGATCTGTCCCCCCACCCCATCAACTGAGTTTATCCTTGATGGCTGGAATAACAGATCTTCCCTAATGCCTCTGAGATTTCTTTAAAGTTAATGGCACTCAGGAAAGAAAGAATATCACAAGTCATCCTCCAGGACCCCATCTGCTCGTATGAAAAAGCACACAACCAAAGAGTTTAATAATCAATGCACTGAATAGCCCTGATAATTTATGCTAATAGTCACGTTACTATGTGGAACAAGAAACAGCTTAATCTGGCTCCCTGCAGCCTGTGCCTCAGACCCCCTCCCTCGGCATGAAAGGCTTTTGAGCACGAGGCCCCCCTCCTTTGTCCCTCTCACAAAGTGGCATTCGTTGCCTCTCCTGGTTACCTGGTAACACACGCCTTGCACAGACTGAGGTTTCTAAGTGGAGCTGGAATTTCAACCCAAGGCGAATTTTTTCAGATTTAGGATCTTGAGAGCTCACGGAAGCTTTGGGGGCTCAGTGCCCTGATGGGCATCGGCATGGGACCCTGTTCCTATCTCATGCAGCATTCAAAACCTGAACTCCACCTGCTGTCTGCAGGATCCCAACCTCCTGCCAATGCTAGCAAACAGCCAGGGTGCATATGTGGAACAAAGCAGCCTTTTAAAGTAATGATAAAAATAACAGTAACAAAAACAATGCCATGTCACCTTAACTGTTAAATGGACCAATAACCCAGGACAGAATGAAGCTTCACCTGGCAGCCTGGCACTCAAGGTCTGCAATGAGTCTGCCCCAGACGTCCCCCAACTGCCCAGTGGGCCCACTGGTCACACTCGCCACAGGCTTGCCTAACTCCTTGCCTTGGTATATGCTGTGCTCCCCATCCCTGCTTCTCAGCCTGGAGATTTTCTACCCATCCTTCAAGGCCCCTCTCAGATGCTTTCTCTTCTGTGACGCTAACCCCATTTTTCTCAGGAGCCATCACCAGGTGCTAAACAGAGGACCCAGTCATAAGCCTTGAGGGAAAAACAGGAAAGTGGATACAGACTGAGAAACCTTCGAGATTCAAGGGTAGTCAGTTTGCGGTACCTTCCTAATCAGGTTGCAAGCAGGCTAGAGGTGCACGGCCACATCCGAAAAGAGCCAGAACAACCTGGGCTGCAGCCCCACCTCAGTGGGCAACAAAGCCACATTGCTCCGGGGAATTCCCTTCTGCTGCCACAGATTGCCCTTCTATGACATTCAAGTGAGACCTGGCCTGGGTAGTTGTAAAAATTAAGGAAGAAGATATGATGCAAGAGCGATTTCCAACAGGAAAGAATTAGTCTTCTGTGGGAACACAGTGGGTCTTCAATACATGTGTGTTGATCAAAAGATTATTTCATTATTAGCATTTTGGGGCATTTCAAAGCGTAGGAGGAAAGGTCAGAATTTAAGCCTGAAAACTGTTTCCAAATGCTCCTCAGAGGCAGGAGTAAGAACACCTCTTACACTGTGCGGAACCTAATAAATATTTATGGAGGCCTCATTCCGTTAAAGTCAGGTGCTGGCTTATTGACGGTGTAGGTGAGGAGCTGGGGAGGGGTGATTTTATTACCAATATTGAAGCAGAACAGCTGCTGCTCTGACTCAGTCTGTTTCCCTTCAAGCGAGGTCCCCAGGGGCATTGTTAAAAAGTGCTCCTGCCGTGTCCTCTGAATAAAGGATAGCTTGAGGGCAGCCCAGAATGAGGTGCAGCATTCCCTAGCTGGGAAAGATCCCCGTTCACGTCCACACCTCCGTGCTTCACCAGGACACAAGGGTAGGGCCCACACAAGCATTTCAGGACAAAACACGGTGAGGGAAAACAGTGCTGGGGTCTGGGTAGTGCCCGATGACACAATCACTGGTGGGGAAGGAGAGCTAAATTCTGGGGAGGCCTGACGCCTGCCACTAATGGGATCATTAAAAGCAGCTTCTGAATTGCCTCCATTTGGCCCCATGAACATCTTTACTCCTGGGGCCCATGCCTGGGGTGGGCTCAGAGCCCATAGATCAGAGTGGAGGGGCTGTCACATTTACTTGTCATTTGGTAATTTTCAGTGAATTAGGGGTATGGGGCTTCCATCTGCCATCTGGCTGCACTCCGGTAACCATGGCAACCACCACCTGCTGACTTAACACTATCAAGTCCTGTCCTGAAATAGCACTGAACCGGGTGCCAGGGACCTGGGAGCCACTCAGGTTTTACCGGTTACCCTGGACAAGTCCCCTGCCCCCTGGGTCTCAGTCTCCTCTGCGTACTAGTAAATTTGGTCAAAATGCCTTCAAAGTGGCTCTTTTAGGAACAGAATACCAGTCCAGAGAGGAATCATCTGAGACCATCAGCACTGGTTAGAGACTGGGGACCTGGTCAGCATTTCTCATGTCTCCTGCACGTGAAGTGGAAGTGTTACCTGCCTGGAGACAAAGAGCCCTGCTTGTGAATTTCCTGCTGAGGAAAGCAGATTGTAAAACAGGTAAGACTATTTAAATGCCACATGGCAGAAACAAAGGTTCGACCTAAATAGTGGCTCCACAGGGGCTGACACAGCCCAGAGAAGAGAAGGGACAGCCAAAGCAGCAGCCAGGGAAGCACCAGCCAGCCCACTCCTCCGCTGAAAGCCCCAACCAGGAACAGCCAATAGTGATTTTCCTGTGCTCCTGGGACTGCCTCAGCCCTCTCAATGGGCAGCACATTGTTTCCAGGGACAGGGGCCTTCCTGCCCCATCTCCAACAACCAGTTAGGTCTCCTGGACTTGAGGGCATCTACTTGGAATGCTTGGGGGGAAATAATAATAGAAATTTCCCAAGGCCTGGAAAAGCCTGTCCCCCACTCCTGAGGCTTCCTTGTTGGAGCTGAAGTCATTACACTGACTGAGGCATTTAGGTATAGACTTGGTCTCCAGCCCCAGGCTGGAACCCCAAGCGACAAGCCCACTCACCCTAAACTCTCCACTGCCCACTCCAGGCAGCCTAGACAGGGGCAGTTCTCTAAAACCTAGTGGGCCAGCAGGGTGATTGGCTGGGATTCCTATATAAATGTTTTGGTTTATTTTTGTTTGATTTTTTAAAATTACATGTAGAGGGTGAGCAAAGATGGCATCCAGAGATGGCTTTATTGTGATGTTAATGAAGCTTATGTTTCTAGGTCCCAAGCAATTAATCATCTTCTATTACTTTACTTCAAGTGGAACCCTCCAAATTATATAAGCCTTATCCTCACAAAAACCTGGATCTGCCCCTGATGGCACCATAATCTTTTCAGAGCTTAGGTCTCTCAAAGTCTTACCTGTCCTAGGGGGGTGCTTCCTCAGGACTCCCAGCAGGACCCCACCCCACACTCACTGAGCCCTACTGCTTTGATCCCCTGACTCCTGAGTCCCAATCTGGAGTCCAAGCCCCCTCCTCCTCCAGCATCTTCACCTGCCCTCCCTCTTCATGCAAACAACACTCCTCTGGCCATGGCCAGTGCTGGACCCAAAGACGACTTGTACCCAGTGGGAACACCCTGCTCCCCAAACTCCCTCTCTCTGGAGGCAAACATGCCAGTCCTACAAATAACTGTATCAGCAGGTACTTAAGTAGCAAAAGGGACAGCAGGCTCACCAAAATTCCGACCAGCTCAGTGGCTGTTGTGTCCATGGGTGTCGTAAGGGATGTTACAGGATGTGGATTCCTGTCACTGTCTTCTTGAGCATCTGACCAGGTAAGAAAAACTGATCCCTAAAGGAAAACTGAGGCCCAGGCAGCACGGTCCATCGCGGTGCTGGGGGAATTCTTTGCCCTACACCCCCAGAGGGTTGGTGTCCCTCCTTCTCCACCCACCCGAGCACCGCGGGACAGAAGCCGGACTCACCAAATTCGCAGGGGCCGTCGC